GATCTTCAGAGACCTATAAGGGCCTGAGTCTGAGCACGGCGGAGCCACTGATCCTCCCTACGCATCAGCTCTGGTGTGGAATGAGTGATACTGCCAGTCTAGAAGTCTCAGATACACCCAGCCAAGGGGGGAATGAACGTAGAGGCTTGAATACCCTGGGTAGCCACTGCATGGGAAAATGCCAGTATGGGAGGACCGGGTGCGCTCCTCTTCCCTGGAGGTCCTTCTTGGAGCTAAGAATCAAGAAAAGAACTCACGTTCACTTCCCTCTTCTTGCTGTCCCTAGAAGCACCTAAAATATATATATATATATATATATATTTTTTTTTTTTTTTAAGGAAAGGCTTAAAGACTGTAGGCCTCCCCTAACCCTCACAGCTAATTTTGACACTTTGCCCCAGTACATGCCCTAAACAGACAGGAGCCACTGCATCTTTAGTCCTGTTCTCTCTTGGTCTTTATTTGATATGACAAAATATAGTTTCAGGAAGAACCCCGGAGTCAATAAATAGTTGGGCAAGAGCGATGGAGCAGGAGGGAAAGAAAGTCATGGCAGGAACTGTGGGATGGCATGGAGCCTCTAGGATCACTTGCTGGGGTCCTGTGGCAGGAAACCCCAATATCTGAGCTAGCTAGGGGGTTGGGGCTGCGGACCTGAGAGGGCATGCAGCAGGCTCGGATTGGGTAGGCTCCCAGTCTTTTTTTTTTTTTTTCCGGGGAGAGGTTTGGAGAGGACAGGGCAACCAAGGGGACCCTAAGGCCATGTTCAGTCATCTCCCCCTTTCATATGCAAATCATTAATAAGTGAAGACCGAGTTTAGTCGCTATAAGGAATCGCCCCGATTCTGGCAAGAGACTGCCAGGCATAAGCACTCTCACACCAGCTTGCAGCCGCCTGGCCCGCCTAACAAGGAACAAAGGAAAGCTCAAGGCCGGAGGTCCGGTCGAGGGTCCTGTGGCCGGGCCCACCTTAACTCAGACGGGCCACCTTGGGGCAAAGAGCTGAAGAAGCCGCCCAGGCTGAGGTTTGTTCAGCACCAGCCTGCGGTGTGCCGCAGCCCTCTGGGGAGGCCCTGCAGAGTTTGCCCTGGGCCCTGAATGTCCAGCTAAGCTGAGCTCTGAGCTGAGCTGAGCTGAGGGGAGATGGGGCAGTGCCGGCAGCCTGGCAGGAACCCTGGGTTGGTGGGGATACAGAATGCCAAGGAAAAAGCGCTTGTCTGTGAGGCCCGGGAGCCAGTACTCCAGCCCCTGACCCACCCAAAAATATAGAGAGAAAACCGAAAGAAAAGGCGCGAGGAACCCAAGCCGGCTGGGGTGATCTCTGCGGGCCGCCCCACTGCTCTAAAGAGCCTCTTTGCTTTTCATTTTGGAATCTTTCTTCCACTTCATCCTGCGGTTCTGGAACCAGATCTTGATCTGTCTCTCGTTGAGACACAAGTTGTTGGCGATCTCTATGCGCCTGCGGCGAGTGAGGTAGCGGTTAAAGTGGAATTCTTTCTCGAGTTCCAGAGTCTGGTAGCGCGTGTAACTGGTTCGGGACCGCTTGCCGTCCGTCTCTGGAACATAAATCCCCCCAAGCCAGGAAGGGGTGAATAGCGTGCAGCGCCCCAGCGTCCCATCCCAACCCCAGGCCCCCACCCGCGGCCGGAGGGAGAGGAGGAGGGAACCGCAAGACAGGCCCGGTGGGCCGCAGGCGGGCCGACCCAGCCCAACCTAGCCCCGGGAGAGGCGCCTCCGCCCAGGCAGGAAACTTTCCACCGCAGCCTTCACTCAGCAGTCGGAGGGGCTGAGGGGGGGTGGGGGGAAGAGGGAGACCCAGGCTCGGACCGAACAATAAGCACCCTCGAGATCCGGGCACCGGGGACCCCCCTCCCGCCCCTCCCGAGTCGCTGGAATCCGCCGGAGCCGCGAGCGCCGGCCGAGCCGGCTCCGCAGGGGAGGGAGGGAGGGAGCCGCGGGGGGATCCCCGCTCTGGAGCCCCGCGCTCCTCACCCTTCAGATCCCTCTATTTTTTTAACTCCCTCCCTCTCCCCCAAAAATTGAATATTGCCTTTTATACACGTTTTGTTCCTATGATCCAATTATGTCGTCGTAAATTTGGGCGCACACAGCCTCTAAGCCTTTTAGTGGACAGTTTTACGAGCCATTGATGCCTGGATCGTAAAATTTATGGCCGCAGGTTTTTTTTCTTTATTTGCCCCGCATGGCCTATAAAACCCAGGCGGACCCGAGCGCGCAAAATGAAGTCCTAAAGTTTACCGTGGCTCATGTGCAGTTTGGTCATCCACGGGTAAATCTGTGGCGGGGCCGGTGGCTGGCTCAGTCCGGCGGGTTGCCCTGTCTGCGCCTGCTCCTCTTTGATCTCCCCACTGCTCTTAGCTCGCTCCTCCAGCGCCGGGCGAGCTGCCTTCTGACTGTACATCCCGGGGTTCAGAGGAGCCGCTTCGTCTCTGCCCAGAGCGTGTCCCGGAGCGGCCGCGGCGCTGCAGGCGGGGCGGTCGGGGTGAGCCCGGGGGTTGGCAGCCATGTCTACCCCGTGGAGAGAGTTGGAAGGCGCAGGCGGTGGGAAAGTGATGCTTAAGTCCAATCCGCCGTAGCAGTACCTGGATGCCTGCACCTCTGAGGCCGATCCATAGTTCCCACAAGTTTGCATGTTATAGGCAGGGATATTGGGGCTCTGCTTATAGAATGAATTGGCTACGTAGGAGCTCATGGCGGGGAGGGCCCAAAAAAAATTTCTGCACCCTTTTTGATTAAGGGTGATTTGTGACTCTTTGAAGTTGAGGGGTTTTTTGTTCTCCAAAGTGCACAATTTATAGGTGGAGATATCTCTTTCTTTATCCTATGCGCTCTTCCCAAATAAGGGAGCCTTAAATAGAGTCACGTGACTCGCACGGCCACTCATAAATTTGGCTTGATGACCTCCGGGAGGTTAGTGATGGAAGCCGGCGAAACGCATCTTGATATGTTGGCAAAGCCCAAGCAAGGGGGAGAGGGAGTGAGAGAGAGAAAGAGAGAGAAGGGGGAGAGAAAAAAAAAAGGTTCTTGGAATTGGGGGGTAGCCGTGACAACGAGCCCACAGCGACACCTGGTGTCTACATGGAAGAATTGCATCCTGAAGCTCTGGTCGCCTTCTGGCAGCTGGATTTTTCTACCCTGTGGAGAAGCTGGTTGTAGCTGCAACAAATCCCTGAGCTGGCCTTTTAAATTCTATTTAAATTTGAGAAAAGATAAGGTCCCATTTAAGATACACAGAGGTGCCTTTTTAATAGATAGTCCCATTCTCCCTTCCTCCAGGGCCTTCCAAACTTTAAAAATGGATGAGGAAAGGGGAATTTAGGTAGTGTGGCTGGCTCCTGCCTAGGTTGGAGAACCAAGGGGGCTTATCTCAAGTTTCCTAAACCAAAGGTCGAGGTCCCTTGCCTCCAAGGCCCCAAAGCCCCAGTACTACTGAGGAAGTACCTATAAATATGGGAAAGTAGACTCCTTGGGAAAGGTGGACAGAATTCCCAAGAGGAAGGGTCCTGGATGGGCAAAACTAGACAGGAAGGTCATGAGGCTGAGAGTTCTGGAAATTCTCTGGAATGAACCTGGAAGTAAGATGGTAGATGGACTTGGGTAGACCTCATCATGCCAGGGACCCCAAAGTGACAATAAGGCAGTTTTCAAATGTGTGCCTGTGTGTGTATGTAGAACCGGACACAAATGGGTGGGAGGACTTTTCCCTGTGTGTGATCCTCATGTACTACTCATGCCAGATATTTTAGAAAGAAAATAGATGCTACTAGAGAGCATGGAGAAGCAAAATTCAAGCCTCCACAATTATTATCTAAGCAAGGAGATCTTTCCTTTGGTGCTTTTCCAGGCTTTCCAGGAACCTGAATCCAGAAGGCCCACAGAAGAGCAATTTCTTAGCTCTTCAGAGGCATGGAGAGGACCCGGCTGAGGGGGCTGGCAGAGCAGATGCCTGGGCAACATTGGCAGCCTTTGGCCAAGGTCTCTGCAGCCCTTCTGCCCCTTCCTCTCCTCTCCTAGTCCCAAGTCTTACTCTTTCCTGCTTGCTCTTTCTCCCCAGGAAACCTCCGCCTCTGTCAGGAGAAGCCCCCCTTCCCGCAGGCGGAGGCGCTGGCGGGGATTTGGAGAATCTGGAATACTCTGGTGGATTTTTTTCTCTTCAGGAGACCCCCCCTCCCGACCCCAAATACGCACCACCTCTCCACTAGGCCCACTCAAGTTTTTCTGACTGGGCTTGGGGAGAGAAGGCTGGAGCTGAGAAATGGTTAGGGTCCTGCTGCGCCCCTCACCCGCCAGGTTTGAGAGAAGGAGGAAGGAACCAGACAAGCTGGGGCGGTAAAGAAGGAGGAATTTTGTTCCGGCCACTTCAGGAGTCCCAGCACAGGCGAGAGCTCAGTTTCCAGGCTTTCTCTTTCGGGATGTCCTTGAGTCGTTCAGTCCGGGCCGAAGGACTCCAATCCCGCGGTCTGGTCTTCTGGTTCTCCTAAACTCTCCGCCTCCGCCACGTTTCCCAACAGCGGGCCTGCTTTGGGCCGGGGACTGGCTGCGGAGCGTCCCCCTCCCCACGGTCCTGGGAGTGGGGGGGAGGAGACCCTGGTGCCTGGAAAATGCTTCTCCTATAGCCTTTAGGGCTAGGGGTTCAGACGCCGAGGACCCCATGCTACCACAGGCAGGAAAGAAAGGCCTGTGTGGGGCTTGGAGCCCAACCCTACTAACCCGGGCTCCTCCACCCCCACCCCCACCGAAATCCTAAACGGCTTTTTTTTTTTTTAAATGGGTGTGTGTCGGTTCGCGTGGGGAGCCCTGAGAGACTTCCCAGCCCCCCCAGCGCGGTCACGAGGAAAATTCGGAGACCGGGACTCGGCGCCCGGCTCCCGAAGAAGGCGAATGCAGAGGACTGGGGACTTGCAGGCGGCGGGCAGACGCGGGAGTGCTTGGAGCCTGCTCCAAGCCGGCGGCTGAGCGAATTAACAGAAACGCAGATATAAACTTTTAAAAATAATATGTTTTATTAAATATTCGAGAACGGATCCAGAGGTCGGATTTATACAGGAGGGTAACACGAGGGGATTTATTTATTTATTTTCTCCTACTGGCTAAACAAATGTCATTCACTTTTTTCTTTTTTTGTAATTTTCCCTCTTTTTTTCCCCTTTTTTGTTAAAATGAGATCGGAACACTGAGGGCTCTAAACATAAATATAAATACAGAGACCACAAATACAGCTAAAAATATTCACACAGAAACGGTCACAGTTTGTAATATGCCATAATGACCCCCAGGAATATTTAAATACAATTTGCCTGGGCTGGGCATTTGCTGGGGCAGAGGGGCCGGACAGGGGTTGCGGGGAGGCCCTGGGGGTTGCTGTGGGGCCCAGGCGCGCCCTCCTTGGGCCTCCCGCTCTCCCGGGCTGCCAGGCCGGGCCCTAAGGCCCGGGAACAGAGGCCCCAGGCCCGCGAGCCCGCTCTGGGCGCGGGGGCGGGGGTGGGGGACGTCAAGCGACTGGTAGGGGGAGTCAAGTCCTCATGTGGAGGGAGATCTGTGGAGTCTGAAGCAAGGCTCAGGGCTGAGAGCCCCCAAGGCCTGGGCGGGGAAAGGGGCCTGCAGACAAGCCGAGAAGGAGCTAGCGAGGGAGCTAGGAGGAGGAGGCCATTGGTGAAGAGTTGTGCGGTGAGGGAGGGGGTCCAGAACTGACTTTCAGGTCCACGTTTGACTCCCTAATTTTGCTTTAGAGAGTCAAAACACATCAATTGTGCCAGTGATAAATACAGAGTGTGTGATTAGGGGAGAGTTGGGGTGAGCAAAGGGAGAAGGAAAGAGAGGGGTGGCAAGGACAGTCCTGGTCACTCTTTCTGCTTCTCCTCTTCTGTCTCTTCCCGCTTTTCCTCTTTTCCGCCCAGGCTGTCAGCTGCGGCCCCTCCGCCGCCCCCTGAGAGCGTGGACGTGAGATTAGATTCTTTTTTCCACTTCATCCTGCGATTCTGGAACCAGATTTTGATCTGCCGTTCGGTCAGGCAGAGCGCATTGGCGATCTCGATGCGCCGGCGCCGTGTTAGGTAGCGGTTGAAGTGAAATTCCTTCTCCAGTTCCAGGGTCTGGTACCGCGAGTAGATCTGGCGGCCGCGCCTCCGGTCTGCTCCATAGCCGACTCCTAGAGATCCGGGCACAAAACACACTAAAAACAATCAGCAAGGCGTCCTCTGCAGACGATTCCCCCTAGCAAAGTCCTGATCCTCCCAACTTGGCCTGCAGCTCCCGACCTCTCTAGGTCTAGTCTTCTGCCTTTTGCCCTGCCCCACCCCCACTGGGGGTACAGCCTAGGGCCCCAACTTCATTCAGTCCTCCCATAGGGTAGGAGATGTGTGTCCCAAAGAAAGGTGGGGGGCGGGGCAAAAACCAGGCAGAAAGCTGCCAGTCTAAAATCTGATTTTTATAAAATCTCAAATACTGGGGATAAGGGCCCCATTTCTCAAGGACTGGGCTCCACACCTTCTAAGCACCCTAGCTCCTTAAAAACTTCTCCCCACTTTTCTGTCCTCCCCTTTCCCCCCTCCCTTCTCCTCAGCCTAACTCGACTTTGGGGCTCCCCCACCACTGCCCCTTTCCTCTTATCCCCTGCCCTGTTCCTTTCCCCCTCAGCTCTCCCTGAAGCCCTCCAATCCACCAGGGGCTGAGGGGGCCTGGCCCCTGTGAGCCAGCGCGGGAGGCAAGCAGAGGGGGCAGAAGAGGGGGCCCTGTCTCGGCGTCGGCGAGGAGACGAGCGTGATTGTTTTTATGGGGCCATAAAAAACTCTCTCCGCCCGTTCTTCTAGGGAAGCCGGTCATAAAGCCAGTTCAGTTTATTTAATTTATATCTCGGAGCTGTAAAACTCACCACTGTGCGAATTCATTCGCTGCATCCAGGGGTAAATCTGGATACTGGCTTTCTGGTCCTGGGGCGCAGTCCTGCCCTGCTCAGAACTAAAATCCTGAGCGATTGAGGTCTGTGTGTTATGTCCTAAGGTGTTTTGTCTGCAGTTTGAGAGCATGTCTTTCTCCTGGTAAAAGGAATTAGATCCATAGTCATACGGCCCCCGGCTGGAACTGAACACGACATTCTCCTGTGGCGAATAAAAGGGAGTCGAGTAGATCCGGTTCTGGGCAACGGCTGCTCCATAGGTCGAGAAATGCCTCACTGGATCATAGGCGGTGGAATTGAGGGCGACGTTAGGGAGGACGTCCTGGCCCCCGGCGAGGTGGCAGGATAAGGAAGGGTTAGTGAAGTAGGAATTCATCCCTTTGCCTTTACCTGGTCGGGCTATGATTTCTTTAATATTTATTTCTGTCTCCAGTTTGTACTCGGAACTAGATGGTTATAGGGACGGCTCCAATCCAGGACAGACAAAATGACAAAGTCAGCTGACCCCCTTCCAGCCAATCGCAAGCCAGATGTCAAGAAGGGGGAAAAAAATCGCTTCTGCTTCTGTTGATTCCCTAGTTGAGACTAAGTGTGTGATTTGAAAGTAAGACTTGGATTTCTTTTTAAAAATATTTATGTGGAGAACAGGTTTGGGGGTGAAGCAGGGGGTGCATGTTCATAAACAGGACCTTAGGACCCAGGGAAGGAGAGATGTACTCCCAGGAAACCTCTCAGACCCAGATAACTTTGCTCTGCTGTGGCCAGAGCCTGGGCCAGAGAAATCTCTGTATTTTCAACCTGATTTCATCTTTTATATCTTCCCCCTTCTAAAATTACATTCTGTTTTCTTCATGGGAGGAATTCCCTCCCAGCTCAGAGAAGGCTCTCAGAAATCCTACAAGAAATCTTGATTGACACTCCATGGGGTGAGTCTCCATCACTAAACTGCTATATTTTTGTCCAATAATTTTAAAAAATCAAAAGGAAAAAGGAATTTCATAAAACATGGTTCCCAGAGGAAAGAGAGAGTGGCTGAGAGTCTTGGGTTAGAGGAATGTGGGGAGCAATTAGGTTTAAAGAGGTGAGACTGAGATTGCAGGGAACAGTGACTGAGCTTAAGTTGGCAAAGGAAGCACGCATCTGTTCTCCTCTGCCTCCTATCCCCCTTCTGCCTCCTCCACAGGACCCTTTCTGAGGAAATACTAGCCACATTTTTGCTTAAAAAGGAAAATGTATAAAAATACAATAGGAAAAGGAGATAAAGAAGTAAAAAGTGGGAGAGATGAGAGAAGGGAAGAGAAGAAAGAAAACTCCCGAGTCTTCTTTCTAGAGACATCAACTCCTGTTTATGTTGGTGAGAATTTATGATTTGAAGCCAGCGAGGGCCGGTGGGGTAATTCACACAGGATCCAGTCTGGAAGAGGAGAGAAGACTGCTGGGGCTCTGATGAACAGTTAGCTTCTTGAAGCTCAAGCCCCTGCACAAGTCAGAAACCCCTACCGGCTCCGGATTCACTGCCCTGCCACGGGAGGCGCCCCTGGACCTGAGTTCTGATGCCTGAGGATTCTAGCAAAGAGGTCCTGGGGAACTCTTTCCCAAGTGCCAGTCACCCCAGACTCTCAGCAGGCTTTCCCTCCTTTTTCTCCCCACCTTGGAGCTGAGAGGAAGAAAGAGATGGTTAGAAAAAAATGCAGCTGGGTCAGAGGCTTGAGACAGCCGCAGTTGGCGAACTGAAACTACGAAGGTGTGCAGAAGGGGGTTTGCCCCTTTTTAATTCAAACCTAATTTGATATCGCTACATAGGCTAAAACTGCTTTCAGTTGACAAAAAAGTGGGTGGTGGGCGTATGCAGGAATCAGTGAAAGCTTATATTTTCCCCCTCACTTTTTTTTGGGGGGGGCGGTAACTGGCTATAACAAGAACCCGGATGTCGCCGGATTTTATGATCTTTTCCTTCTGTGTAACAAAGCGAAGTAATCAATGGGTAGCAATAAAGCCATAAACGGGACTACGCTGGGAAAAAAACTCATTTATTCATCTTCTGTAACGTTAAGGTTTCCCTGGAGTGTCGCTAGGGGGGAAAAATAAAGTTTCAAACCCAAAAGCAGACAGTGTATAGGAGCTGGTGCAGACAACATGTTAGTTAATACATGAACGTCGTTAGGGGGTTGAAGAGTCTTACTACAAGACGATTTGTGTTGGCTGTAAAAAATATCCAGACCCCATCCTTCAGAAAGGAAGGAAATTGGTTGGCATTTAGAAGGGTGGGTAGGAGAAAGATCCCCATAATTATAAAGGTTTCTCCCTTTAGACTACACTTTCTTCTTCCCAAGGAGAGGAAGGTGAAAGGATAGAGGAGGATGCTCACATTAAGAAAGGAATTTTAAGAGGAAGTTATCTCATTTTGGGGTGTTATGACAGGTACACATAGACAGGAGTGTGAGTTACTTTTTTTTTTTTCCCTTGAATCCAGCTGTCCTCGAATTCATGGCATGCCTGGGCAGAGGTTTCCAACAGCTGGCTGGGGCTCCAATTTCCCTGGAGGGCAAGAGGTAGGGGGAAGAGAGAACAAGGGGAGGGGGTACCCTAGAGCTGGAATAGGAAACAAGTCAGCACCCCTGGATGCAAGTAGCCTCTTTCAGATTTACCAGCCTCCTTTCTGCCCTGAGGGTAGCGGTGTAACAAGTAGAAGAGGCTGGAAGAAAGAGTAAATCCCCCCCCCCAATTTCAAAGCAAGATTGCTAGAGGGATAAATCATGTCAGTGATATTTCCTTCAAGATATTAAATTGTTGCAATGTACAACAAATTGAATGATGGAAGATAGGATGTCTTAATGAGGTTTCGCTTTCAATGAGTGTTGATTTTTCTATGTATTTTAAGACCTCTTTTATGGATGGGTGGGAGGGAGGGGGCTGGAAAGAAAGAAGGGGCTTCTTGGGGAAGCATTGCTACAGTCCCCCAGCAAAGATGCTTAAGTTTCCTTGAGCCTCTCCTTAAGCAGTTCTGGAGAGGAAAGGGACCCTAAAGTTGGGGACATTCTTTTTTGGGGCCTAAAGTCAGTGGGCTTGGGGGGTGGTGATCTGAGGAACAGAAAGTAAGTCTCAGGCCCTGAAAGTTAAGTGTTTTATTACATCCCTAAACAGAGGGCAGAGACTGAAAGGTCTCGCGGATTTATAATGAACAGAAACCAGCTGCTGGGGAAAAAAAAAAGGCAGAAATGCTGGAGGGGGGAGAAAAAGGGAAGCAGAAATACAAATACATTCCCCCACTGCTTAAAGACTGGAGGCAAAAATAATTTCCAACACAGTTTATTCCTCCATCACCTTCCGATTCTGAGAAAAGAAGCCTCCTCCTTTCAGTTAGATCTTTAATTATGCAGCTGAAATTTGCTGGAAGGATTCGCTCCAAGGGGGTAGAGTAGGTCAGATTAGCTCGATCTTCCCTACATTGGATTATATTTTCCTTTTCCCATTTCATGTTAATTTTATTTTTTGGCAAAAGCATGGCTATCTGGAGGGGAAGAAACTGGAGCTTGGATTTTTTTTCTAAATATATTTATATTTTCCTGTTAAATTTGTCTGAAAACAATTATGGAAACTCATCAGCAGAAGCAAGAACAGATGTTTTATTAAAACTGCAGTTGAGCTCTGTAAATATGCACAAGTCTTGGGAAGGAGGGAGCGAGCAAACTCATTCTTTGTTTCTATAAAACAAGCCTAGAGAAATCAGAGAACACCTCCCATTAGACCGGCAGGTTTAGGAGCTTCTCCGGCCCCTCAGCTTTTAGAATTAGCCATTCAGAAGGGGCTTGGTGTCAAAAGCAGTTTTTTTGCTCTCAGAGCTGTAATTAGTGGATTCAAAGACAGAATTCAAAAAGGCAGAAAAGGAATGAAGGGGGAAAGTTGGCACTCCATGCTCCAGTCTTCCCCCTCCCCAATCCAAAACACATGCTTTCGGTGAGTACTAATTATAGGAGAGGAATTTACTGCTGGCGCCTTGGGCCTGAGTGGGGTGCAGTCACCGCCCTGGACTACCCAAGGCTAAGGGTCACCTTGGAGCTGGGCATTTGGGGGTTTCCTAGGGTGCCTTAAGTCACTCCTATTTCAGCCCTGTCCCACTGTAGGCCAGGGAAAGGCTGGTAGCTCCCTTGATGGAACTGGGAAAAGAGTGGTGGGACTGCCCCCACCCAGGGCCTGAAGAGGTTCATGGGCAGGCCTTGCTCTGTCTGCCTTTTCTGTCCACTGTACTCTGGGAAATAGATTAATTTCTGGTGGAGGGACACGTGAAATGAACACGATGAGATCTGGAATTTTTATTTGGGGAGAATCTTTTCCAAAGGTCCTCCTTAGTTTGTGTTCTGCAGGGCTCCTCTCTCTCCCCAGATCCCCCAACTGTGTCAGGATGTTTGTGACTCACCCACACTCATACACAGATACAACACAGTCCATTTCTGGCTGCCTGCACCACCAATTAGAGCTTGGTGCCTCCGAAAGCTGCTCAAGGACCCCAACACTGGAGCCACAGGACTCAGCACTCCCTTGGCCTGGGTGCTTGGCTGCCTGGAAGCTACTACAGCTGCCAGACCCTACTCTTCCACGATTCCTAATTCTAGTTTTCCAGAGCCAGAGAAGAGCGGTTGCCCCGCCGGCCCCTTTTGTGCCACTGGGCGAGGGCTGAAATCCCTCTTACAGAGAAAGCCGTTTCAACAATTGCTCAGCTCACCTCACAATCGAACTATTTGGTTAAGGCTTTGCTGTTCTGGAGTGACTGCTCAGCTGGCCCCAGTAGCATGTGATTAAAATTTTTTTATTTAAAATTAAAAAAAATAAACCCTACTCAAATGCTTAATGTTTGGTGTGCAAGCTCCTTTGATCTCCGTAGAACCCTGAATAAAAGGATTGCAAAGAGAGCTTCCAAATCTGTCAGAGAACCTGAACGAGGAGACTGGTCTCTTAGGGGACACCAAAGCAAACTCATCCAAGGTGTTCCCAGTTTCTCATAGATATTGTAGTTTTCTGAGCACATAGCCCCTCCACACACACACACTGCATTCCAAAAAGGAACACTCTCCTTTGTAAGTTCAGGCTTGGAGGCTCTTGGAGAAAAATGAAATTCGACACACCCAACCTGGAAATGGATCCCATTTGTAGGTGCTGATATTCTAGGAATAGGGTTCAAGCTGGCCAGTTAAAGGGATTTGGGGGTCAGCAGGGAGTGGGGGAAGGGTCCAGATGAGGCACGTCAAGCTTCTGAGAACTGCCTCAAACACCTCTGAGGCCTGTGTTGGTGACTAGTCTTCTGAGGACTTGAGAGACTGCCTGAGCTGTTTTTGCTTTATTGTAATTCAACAGAGAAGAAAGGTATATGGAGGGGCTCTGCTAACTTAAGTCATATTTCCTTTCCTCCCTCTCTCTTTTCATATTTCTGCCTGGCTTTTCTTTATTGGCACCCCACTTGCTGCTGCTGCCATCAGCAGATAAGCCCCCCCACACACTGGTGTTTGTCTGGCCTTTCAACTTACTTTTCTGGCTTATAGTTAGAAACTAAAATAGGTCCCAAACATCTCTGCCCTATCACACTCAGTTCTGAGCCCCCTTCCGGTTCCATCTGGAAAAAATCATTTCTGGCTTTTTGGGGCCTGGCCCTCAAGCCTCTCACCTTTATCATAAGCAGCTGAATATCAGCTGAGGAAGGGGCTTGGGGGATTTAGCCCCTCAGTCCCATTGGGAATGGGGAGGGAGCTCAGATGTTTAGGGACATTTCACAAGGACAAAGCAAGTGTCCCAGCTCGGCCCAGGAATAAAAATTTAAATCCTGAATATTCAGAATATTTTAGGGCCTCAAGAGGGTGTCAGACAAAGAGGGAGGGGCAATAGGGGGTGTGCTGCTCTGTGCCAGCTCAAAGGAGCCCCAACTTCTGGTTTCTCTTATGCCTCTCAACATCCAAGCTTTGCTTTGACCCGTTTTGGAGGTTTATGAGAGTTGCAAAATTCAAGAACTAGGCACTTATGACATCACAGTGAATTGTCATGTGGAAATTGTAAATGTCATAAAAGTTATGTACAACAGGATTTTTGTGTGTGGGTGCCCAATCTCCCCTCACTTTTCTTCCTTTCCTCCTCTTATTCCCTGGTCTAACTTCTCCTGCTTGAAAATAAAATATTATTATGTTCTGGAACAATAAGCCAACAATAAAACATCACCCTCTTTTCCCTATAAATAATTTTATCCTTTATTGTTTGCAGTCTGAAAGAACCATTTAATATGCGTTGGTGAAAAGAGGGAGAGAGATGAGGAGGGGGATTAATTTCAGAAACAAGAATATTACTTACTTCCATGATACTCTTTTAGATTTGATAGCCAGGAGCAAAATTAAAGGCGAACAGCAGCCTCTCCTACTCTACACCTGGCGGGATTGGAGATTTATAGGATCTTTAGCAAAGGGGCAATTTAATTTTGTAGGATTTGCTTAAATTCACTGCTATTTTGGGGGGCTGAGGAGAACGAAGTGGGAAAAATGATATGCTTTGTCTAGCTTTACAAATCTACCAACATTACCCTGATTTAAAAACCCAACAACCTGTGTCTCAGGGAAACTCCTGCAGAAAAGCATGGAGGAGTGCAGCGAGGGGAGCCCAACTTTCTTAATGACTGTGCCCCCCCTGGCCAAGAGGTTACCAGGGGGAAGGAAGAAATGCTAGCTGGAGGCAAAAGAAGGGCTGCTTGTGAGTCTCTGCCACCAGGACACCCGGA